TTTTAAATTATCTGTAATATGATCTTTGTTTAGACAGAGCACACACAAGATTTTGTGTGTGGGGGAGAAGGAAAGAGAAGCTCTTTTTTATGGTTAAGTAAAAATATCCAGTTGTAGGGGAGGATAAAAATCATTTCTAGAGAACTGCAAATGAGTCATGTCATGCTTAATTCATACTAAAATAACCTCAGAACATTTCCAAGGCATCAAAATTCTATAACCTTATGAAGATGATAGGCAGGAGGTGCCCATTTTACAAAATAAACACAGAATCATAGAAAGATTTAGGGTAGAGAACCTCTGAAAGCCATTTAGTGTGACCTCCCAAAAAGAATGTCAGCATCACTTCAGTACTTCTGTACACAGTGTTTTTCATACGGTATTATCTTTACATGTAATCTTGACTAATGGAGTGCTATTTATGACTATTTAAAGAAGGTAATTATCTTTTTTTAAAAAAAATCAGTTAAGTGCTGCAGAGAGCATCCAAAATAAGAGTGTGTGGGCTTGACAAACCTCTGTCAGAAAAGATTTAGGTGTGGTTGTTTTGTGTTAGGAATGGATTAGGTAACCCCTAGGCATCCCTTCCAGAAATACTTCTCTGTTAATAGCCATTGACCGTTTGCTTATCCTTTGTAGTATGCTCTTTAAGATTACACAAAATGAAAACAGATTTGAACAGTGCAAGAGAAGCATAGAATGAGCTGAATTGAAATCTGAAGCTTTTTTGTGTGTTAGAGTAATGAGGTAATGATGCATGCAAGCCCATATCTTTTTGACTTTTTTGTTGTTCAGTCTTTTTGTTTTTTGGTTTTTTTTTGTTTTTTTTTTTGGCTTGTGTTACAGCTTAACAGATTTGAAATGAAAAGTCGATTAAGTCGATTTATAGCTGAAGACCCACTGGATCTGCTTCTGCCAAGGGAAGAAGCCATCAAGCTAAGCACCGAAGCCTTCCGGCTGTGGGCTGTGGCTGCAGGCTACGGCCAGGCCTGTGATCTCTACAGGTACAGCCCAAAGCTGGAGAAATGGGGCTGGAGGGCACAATAGAGAAAATGGACATCTTGTTCCAGAAGGGCAAATAGAGAGATCTCCAGGCACAGTGTCTATACCCTTTGGGGTGTCTTATCTCACATCCTCTCACCTCCTGCGGTAAAACTCAGTTTCTAAAGGCATTTGTGTTGAGTATTGTCTTTTTCTAGTTTTTCATTACCTCCGGTGTTTAAGCACTGATATTTTGTTGATTCTCCTTTATGCTATGGGAGAGCACTGTAATTTTTTAGGGCTACATCTTTTCCCCTTGAAGGCATGAATAATGTGTGCTTGCGTGACATCAAGGCACATAGTTTACAGCACACCTGGGATTGAATCTGATTGATCTAAGGGCAGTCTGTGGACAGCAGTCACCAGCTTGCATGCTCAGTGAGGCAGACCGATGCAGACAAACTGCATTGACTTTCAGTTGAGTACAAGTACTTGTGCTTGACTGCCAAGGTCTGCACTGGCATAAGTCTGACCTAGCTCAAGCATTGAATCTTCTTTTTGTAATTGCACTGAAGTGGAAGGAGAGAGATGGTTATGGAATTGCTCTGAAGAGGTGTAAAAGGGTGGGCAGTACTGAGTTTCAAAAGGGAGATTCTCATCCATGACAATATTTTATGTTCTCTGGCACAATCAGGTTAGTTAAAAAGACTAAACTGTATGTAGTAGTTTAGTCCTGTAAATAATGTTGTGGGAGGAATCAGAAGATTTCCTTCAAGTTTCAAGATTATCACTGAGGATACTGTGGCTGAGAGTTTGAGAACTATTCCCTAGCAAGAATAAAATTAAAGTAGTTTTTCCAAGAGATAATCAGTGCTTGGAGACAGAATATTAGGTAGGTCCCATTCAAATGAATTTGTAAGTGCAGTATTCTTCCTTTGTCATCTTTTTTCCAGGTCTGTTTATTTTTGTTATTGTGGTGGTGATTATGATTCTCATAATCTCATTTTAGCAGTCTTTATAAATAAGTGGTGGGAGAGTGTAAAGAAAATAAAGCCAGGCTCTTCCAGTGGTATGAAGTGAAAGTACAAAAAGCAATGGACACAATTGGAAATACAGGAAATTTCACTTAAGTGTAAGAAAAGATTTTTTTAAAAGCGGTCAAACCATGGAGCATGTTGCACAGCAAGATAGTGGACTCTTCATCGTTGAAGATATTCAGAATCCTACTAGATGTATTTCTGGGCAATCTTGCTCTAGCTGACCTGGCTTGAACAGGGAGTTGAAGTACAGATGACATCCAGAGACCCTTTCCAAATTCATCTATTCTGTGATTCATACTATAGTGATCTCTACCCTGTGCTGGTGAGGATACTGCAGTCCCTGCCCAAGTTACTCAGCACTTGCCGTGGGAAGAGCCCTACGATGGAGTTGTCTGTCCAGCGAGCTGCAGCAGTAGTTACTCTGCTGACACATGTGACACAAACAGCAGGCTGCACGGCAGAGCTGCAGGCCAAGCTGAGCAGGTAGGCCCTCTCTCACCAGTTCTGTGCATGTAATTGTCACCCTGTCTTCCCTTTATTTGGTTTGGAGGCCTGGCTATCACCTTTCTTTTCCCCCTCATTTTCAATGGTTTACTGTCCCACATGTGAATACCTGCATGGTGGGGTGTGTTCCTCTGACTCAATAGCAGATTGAGTGTCTGGACTGACAGCTAGCATGGTAAGAGGCAAAGGGCAATGTTAGGCAAATGCCCTGCTGAAAGGAGCTAGAATGCTCCTTTGACCTTCCCTTGGGGGTAAAGAAAGTAACCTTCCTGAGGTTTAGAGGAAGCAACCTCTCTGCAGAGACAAAGATGGAACAGGATTAAGAGGTGGTTGACTTTGATAGACGTCAGAGCCGTAGGATTTCCTGAAGGAACAGGGACTTTTTCTGGTGGAAAGCAAGAAACTTTAACTAAAGCTGAGTACTGAGATAGCATGTCTGGTACAGCTAGAGCATAGCTCAGGGACAGTAGTGCAGGAGGAGAAATTTAAGTTTTTATAAGTAGATTCTGCATTTATCCTTTCTGCCTAGATTGATTTGGTCTGGTCTGTGAGAGTATGCAAAGACTTTTTTTTCCCCCCTAGTTGCTGTTGTTGAGGATTGCCTTCTGGACTTGTTATGGTTTAACCCCAGCCAGCAGCCAAGAACCACACAGCCTCTCACACTCCCTCCTCCCTCCTCTTCCCCCTAAAAGCACACAGGACTACATGGAATTGAAAATCTTGTCTTAAAATTGATGTTTTGGAGAGAAAGTTGTTTCTGAGATTATTTGCTATCCTGTGTGATTCTTCTGTTGTGTTGCAGTAATAGCTCAGAAGATAGTGAACAGATTCCACCTCCTCCAGTAGCATGGAATCAAGTGTCAGGCTTACAGCCCTTCCTTGAGACGAGTCTGAAAAAAATCCTCCAGGAGATATCCCAAACAGAGACTTGGCAAACTCTCCAGCCTCTGACCACAACTTGTGTGCTTTACTTGGGAGTTTATTACAGTGCTTACAGCCAACAGGTAAGGCTGAAAATACACGGCTTCTCATCTCATCAGCATCAGCTTGTGTATTACCTTTGAAAATCTGAACTTTATAGGCAGTGCTGAAGACAGGCATCTGGCTGATGACTAGATTTTTTTTACCACAGCCTGTATCTAGGCTATGTGGCATTTAGGGTCACATAAGTCTGCTGACCCTGTACATTAGCAGTGCCAAATACCTGTCTTCCTTTCTTTCTTCCTTTGGGATCAGAGTCTCAATCAAGGTATGTAGTCATGCTGTGACTGTTCTGATTTACTGCAGATATCCAGAACATGAAGCAGATACAACCTAATTTAGTTTGGCAGTCCTTTTTCCTAGTAGAATAAATCAAGTCATGCATTTTTGCATTTGCTTTGGTCTGAGTGCTTACATGTGGACACTTTACACTGTAGTCATCTGGCTGGCAGACTGAGCATTAAAGGGTCATGCCATATGAACTTTAGATAGGAAACAATAAAGATAAATTTATTTGTTACCCTACTGATATTGAAGGTCAAATTCTGTAACATAGTTATAGTTGCAGTATGTGACCATCTTTTAAAGTGAGTTTTCTGAAGGTGACACATCAGTGTGATGCTGTTAAAGAATAATGTCTTCTGCTTTAGCTACCTTAAAGATTCATATTCTAAAGACAAATGGAATTTTCCTCTTTACTGCCCAACTGCTGTGCCTGAGTTCTAACCTGGGATAGCTGTCTTCAAGGTGTGGAGGGAGGTAAACTTGCCAAAAGCCACTATTAGGTGTGGCTGGGTAGAAACTGCCAGTATCTCTCAAAGATGTCTTCAGTGCCCCAGAAGTTGGTAGTACCCTTCACATGCTGTCATTATGTCCTGAGAATGAGAGAACCAGGATAACCAAGAGTAATATGTACTTCTAACCTTTACAGATGTCCCAGAAGAGTGGCTGACAAAACTTAAGTCCTTGAACTGTGTGTGCTGGGTTTTTTAATTTCCAGTTAAAATAAAGTTCAGTTATCCACTTGTGGTTAGATAATCTTTGAATGAATTAGTGTGTACTGGTACCTTCTTGGAATATTCTTGGTAGATTACTCAGAACTAAACATCTTCACATAGGTTTTACTGATTTCTGGAGGGGGATTTCACCTGGGGGAAAATCAGATTTTATGTAGTGGAAATAAGTGTTTCTTTATCCCAAATCAGCATTCTAATGAAGGCAAAGAGCATTTAAATTTGTCAGCATGTTCCTTCAACCTGGAATATTGCTCACTAGGGTCAGAACAATTTTGATGGTTCTCTAAAAGCCACAAGTCCTCCTCTGTACAGTGTTCATTCACAGTCATGCTTTGATGGGTAGGTCAATCACACTTGTGGTTTTTTGGGGGTTGTTTTTTTTTTTTGTGAATTTTTTTTTTTTTTTTGTATTTTTTTCTTTTTTGGAGCCCTTCATGGTGTCACTCAGATTTCTCAAGGTAGTTCTGATCACCTCTGTGCCATCTTCAAGTTAAATAGAAAGAGATAGATGGTGTGGGGAGGAGGGTTTAGCCAAGTTTTCATTTAGGGAATCTTGGTCCCAAGCATCCCATACCTTTCTTCCAGGTATTTGGTAATTAAGAATCTCTGCGATGCATTTTAATACTTGAGTGTGAGAACACCTTTGGATGCCAGCTCTTGGCTTCCACACTACGACCAGTGATGCCAGCTCCAGCCTAGAGCAGTACCACTGTTAAGGTGCTGTGGTCCGGCAAAAAATACAATAAACACAGAGAAAGCAATTAAATCAATGTCTTTTTACCCTCACTGGAATGCTGTTTTCATTCACCATCTTTTCCTGTCTTTCTTCATGTCTTTTGCAGCCAACAGTCAACCCAATTGACTGCTTAGAGGAACTGGAACATTTAACATCTGAGGTGCTGCAGCCCCTGCTCAGCCAGCCAGCCATACACAGCATGTGGGATTTGCTCAGGTAAAACCATTTCACTGCTAAGATGCTGCTACCAGAGCTAAGAGAGCCTCATTTCTATACTGTACTGTATGACAGTTCTCCCAGCTCCTATTTCTTTTGCCCCAGATATGTGAATTAGAGTGCAGTAGGACTCTGTCTACACTCAGCTTTATCTTCTCTCTCCTTTATCTTCACCTCACAGAGGTTTTCCAGTTCCTCCTTTTCTACTGGTGCTGCTACATCTCTGCTTTACCTTGTGGCTGTGTTTTTCATATCAATTTCAGATTGATTTTAGTCACTCTTGGCTTTGATTATTTGGTTTCACTGGTTTAAAAAAATAGAAAGTAACATTAGTCAAGTCCCTCTAACATGAGGTGGTGAGTGTGTGTGTGTGCATGTGTACCATTCATGTGCTCTCTGTGATGCTGCTTATATCAAATATTTTAACTAGATTCATGTCTTTTAGCTCCTGCAGAAAAGTGAAAGGCCAGATAGCAAACTCTTCTTTCAGACATATGGATAACATAAGCTCTGAGTCTGAGAACAGTTAAGCATTGCAGATATTCTGTCTTTCTGCTGTAGGGAGAACCTCCTTACTAGGCTGTGATCAGTCCTCTGGATGAGGTGTACTGAAAAGACCTAACTTGTAGTCAGGGAGACACCTGTCTGCTTCTGAGAACATCTGATACAAGGGGCACTTGAAATTTTTGGTTTTAAGTGGTATTTATATGGTCACCAAACATTGTATTCTTTTATGACTGAGACTGAGGTCTGAAGCTCTTGGCACTAAAGCTTTTCAACACAAGAGCACTCGTTAGGTCCTTTTCTGCCTGTCCTTGAGGTCTGAAAACAATGGGTTTGGGCAGGCTATAAAAGCCCATCAACAAGAATTCTCCTTGAGTGTTCTTAACATTGAATGGTAAAAATGAAGACCAGCTAATCTCTGCCTTAATACTTTCAATTTTGTCTAAACTTTCTGGGCAGATTAGGGCCAGGAGCTCAGTGTACTCTGTGAACCCCAGATGTGTTCATACATATTCTACATGTAATGCCAGTGGTAGAAAGTGCAGTGCATTTAAACAATTAGTTTTCTGTCACAGAGTAATGATATGGGTCTTTGACAGGGTTTCCCTATTGCCCTATTACTGTTGAGCAGCATGCTTGTGGTCACTCTTCCTTGTAGTGGTCTTGTCTGTACAGACATGGTTTATCTAGTGTGGGCCCCACAAACACTGCTGGTGTGAAAAGTTCTGGTTTTGCCTGTGGAGAGAACACACATGTGCCAAGAGTGTTTTGCATGGTCATGTTCATGTACATTAAAGCTAGGTTCTTCCTGAATAGAATTAAAAAATACGCATTTCATGAGTACATAAGGGACAGCATTTTTGCAATGTCAATTTTGGAGATATTCTGGCTTTTTGGCTTTGCCTATAAGGTTATTATTGAAATGTCTTGAGTGGGTGTGCAGTTTTATTAGCCTGGTTTGCATATGTATGTGGGGAAATGTGGTGAGTTTTTAAAAATCAAAGGTCCAATGCTGTCAAATGTTTGATGTCGGAGATGCATCACTGCATCAGTATTTCTGATTATCATGACCAATTTAGCTGAAGATTAGAATTCATGACAGCTCACTGGCATTAGCTTGTATGGCAGTAGTGCTCACATGACCAGGCATGATACTAGTTTTATCTGGCACAGTCCTCAGGTCTTCCATTTTACTGCGATGTGGTACAGCTCAGATAGATAGTACCATTTCTACAAGATAATTCCTCACAAGTATGAATGCTTTCAACCTGACTCTTCTCTCTTTATTTGTTCACACAGGCCATGTTCTGCTTTGTGCAACCCTCTGTCATGTTCCCCAGCACCAGAATCTGTCTTCAGCATCGCATCTCTGAGTTGCACTGGAGGCAAACCTCCTTTGAGCCTGGTTGGCTCTAAGTCACCTTTCCCCTTCCTGACTGCCCTCCTGTTTCTCATCAATAGCATCACTCACATTCACAAGGGTCTGACCAGCAAGGTGAGAATAGACATTTTCACTGTAAATTTTAGGTGAATGATGATATACTTGTGAGAGAGGTTACTCTTTGTATCTTCCCAGGATTAAAAGAGATGTTAGACGGACTGTTAAAAAACTAGTGTGCTTTTTTATTTAAAAAATGCCAAAGTACGACAGAGAGAAATAATTCCATTTTCAGAACAGGTGGGCTGAGGGTCTGAAAAATGTCTTGCCTTTGGATTCCAATATCCAGTTGACACCAGGAAGCTGGAATTAGAGAGCAGGTGATGCTTAAAGGGTGGCTTTATAAAGAATGCTGAGAAGAGGTGAATAACTGTTCTTTGGCTAAGCAAAATAGATAACTAGAGTGTCAGTGTAGGAAGGGCATGGTTGGAGCATATATAACAAAGAAAAAAGGGGTAATATTAAACAAGAGAATGAGTGTTACAGTGACTGAAGAGGTTCCTTCCTACTTCAGGTTGTTCTGAATTTTTAGAATGAGTGAGTCACGGAAGATTGCAGACTCTGAAGAAGAAAAGTCTGAGCTGTATAGAGATGGAGTACCTAGCATAAGCTTTTTTAAAGCCTTCCTCTGTCACCTTGTGTTGAATTAGCTGACTGCTTACTAATATAAGCAGTAGGTTACTAATATAAGCAGGTTACTAATGTAAGCATCTAGCCAGATGAGGGAAAAAGATTCTAAGTCAGCCTTCTGCCTTACAAAGCACTATGGATAATGTAGGCAGTGTCAATTGGTTACCTGTGATGGGGATGGTCATCATGGATGAGCCCTGAAGCAGAAAAGCAGATATTTATCAGGTGGTTTTTAAATACCTGTTTTGGAGTAGCCAACAGGAATTCTCATATGAGAAGGTATGGGGTAGGCCTTGGAGAGGGCTGTGTTTTACTTTCGTCCAAGCACAAACTGTCTTAATAGTATTTGCCTCCCCTTGTGATTCTTTTATAGTACAGTTCTGTGCTGGTCTTCAGAGGCTTGAAGGATTATCTGCATCAAAGCTGGCAGACTGGACCTCCTTCTGTAACTCCCTCATCTGCATGGATCCTGCGCCATGAGTATCATCTGCAGTACTTCGTGTTAGCATTGGCTCGGAAAATGGTATCGTTATTAGTCCTTTCATTCTTTCACCTGACTTCGCTGACAACTGGTTTTCACATCTGTGTTGTTTCTTGTATCAGATTTAGGTCTGGTGGCTGTTCAGCTGTCTTTTATGCCCCATCAGCAAATAACATCTTTACAGTTACTGATGTGAGGATTTAGTTGCAAAATACTTTGGATGGCAAAATTGTATTTTTGCCTGTCTTTGTGATAGAGTGAGAACAAAGGTTTCAAGTGTGCTGCTAAAAAAGATGTCTGATTATCTAAGGCAGTCAGGGGACACAGGAAGATCCCTCAGTACGAATGCTGACAGCTCTTGCAGTCTGCCTCAGTCTTTTGCTTTCCAGCAAGATCTATGTCTTGGTTGACCCTCCTGTCCTTGTTGATTGTCTTGTTGACAAATGATATAGTGCTTTATCTGTTTTGTTTCCTGTACAGGCAGGCACTTGTCCGGATTACATGCAGCATGCCTCACTCCATCACTGTGTTGCCATGGCATTGCTAAGCCGTCTGTTGCCAGGGAGTGAGCATCTGGCTCATGAGCTCCTACTGGATCTTGCCTTTAATCCAGAGTTTCTTCCGTAAGCTTTGCATTTTTAATTTCTCTAGTCCGGTACATGGGAAAACTTGGGCAAAATGTTAAAATCACGTTGACACTGCAATTTTTTCATAATTTCTGCAGTCATGGAGCCTTCTAATCAAACAAGCACTGTTGTTGCAGATTTCTGTCTGATGTACCAATGTTGAGAAATGTGACCAGTTTATTTTCTTCTGTGACAAGGCTCTTGTGATTGCTGATAGAACTAATTCTCACTAAAGCCCAGCATCTGCCGTCCTGAGAGTAGCAAGTCTAGAAAATAAACTGAAATTTGACACAGCCTGAAAAGCTTAATGAATCTTCCCCAAACCCTTATTATACAAGTTCTTATGCAAATTTTTGCTGATTCAACCAAATGTGATTTCTTCCACCTTGCACTGGAAGAAATCATGAGCATCTCAAATGTGAAGCCTCCCATGTCTGGCCAAGAGCATGGTAGCAGCTGATCTTGTTCATCACAGCATCTTTGAAATTAGCCATGGAGCATCCTCTGTCGAACCAAGGGGGTTTTTTTGTTGCCTTTTTTTTTTTTTGTTAACAAAATGGTCAGTTTTTAGTCTGAGATCATTGGCATATGGATTTGACAAACACTCTCCACACACAGTTGTACCAGTCTGTATGGTTCCCTGGACCTTGCCACTGCCAGCTGCAAAGCTGCTGTTTTGAGAATTGTCTTACAGATTCATGTTGACCTTATATGATATGGAGTATTTAATTTCAGCACCCTGACATCTGTGTAAGTAAGTAGATTGCCTTTTTGGACAAGGAGTTTCAGCTTCCATACCAGACTGCTGGCATTGTGTGGAGGTTTTTCATGGCAAGGCCTTAGTGTTGGTAACTCCAAATATAGTTCTGTGAATTTCCTGTAAATACCAGGATTGCTGGTGCTTTACAGGTGCTCTGTATTAGTATAGCTGAATGCTGTAGAAAGTGTTGCACATGCTGTGCATATACTGTTCTCCCTGATACAAGAAAATTGTAGAGATTAGTTTCTGTGGTGGTTTGTTAGTTTGTTTCTTAAAGTGATGCTGGTCTTTATCTTACAGTGAAGGGAAAGCTGGAGGGCCAGAAGCAGCTGACTTCTCTGATATCCTACATCTGGGTACCAGTGCCAAACTGGCACAGCCTGGCACTGCGGCAGCAGTTTTTTCAAAGGTTTCTCGTGGTGCCCTGCTGAGAGAGTCATACCAGAATCTGCCTGTCATTCGTTCCTGCTACCTTTCTCATTTTGTCCACTTGCAGCCTACCCTTACACGTTCCCAAGCATCCTACCAAGGGCGGAATTACCTCATCCAGTCCATGCTGCTTCCTGAGGTCAAAGGACCCATCCTGCCTTCAGACTGGCCATTCTTTCCGCTCATCCGCCTCTACAACAAAGTGACTAATGCAGAGACCTGTGGGGCTATACTGAACTCTCTCCCACTTGATCTTGTCAACACTGTGACCTGGAACCTGCAGTGGGTCTTGTTGCTAGAAACTTGGCGTGCTAAAACCCTTCAGAGCACCCCTACTGCTGCCAAGCTTGCACGGCTTATGTGTGTCTTCCTCACAGGCAGTGACCTCTTTCTAGAAGCACCAATTCACCACTACACAGCTGCCCTTCTCTCTGTGTATTGCCAGCCCAAGGCCCTGGACTCGCTGAATTTGGATGCTCCTCTCCCTGGTTTGGCATCCTTTCATGATCTCTATATAAGTCTCCTGGAGCAGTTTGAAGGTGTCTCCTTTGGAGATCCCCTCTTTGGAGTCTTTGTTCTTCTACCTCTACAGAAGCGTTTCAGTGTTCATCTGCGTCTCTCTGTTTTTGGGGAGCACACAAATATCCTGCGGGCGCTGGGAGTGCCGTTACAGCATGTAAGGCTGGCTTATAGTAGTTGCCTGTCACAGCATAAGTTCTGGGTTATTTGGCTCTTGCCTGTGGTTCTCCAACCTTGATTTGGGCATCCCATCACTTCCCTGTCTTCCTTATTCCTCTATTCCACTAGAATAATCATGCTTTCTTTCCTTAGATTTTTTTCATTCTCCCTGAAGAGAGTCCAACTCATGGAATATAAAATAGAATAAGAACGGAGAACAATGTTATTTTTGATTTAAGGCTGTGACAGCAGTGTATACATTTTTTTGTTGTTCTCTTTTCTTTTTCTAAACAGCTTGATTGACTGTAAGTTTGAAGAACAGAGTCCAGCACCTGTAGGTGCAGGCCCCTGTCAAATAATCATTCTCAGACACCTGTTGAACTTTGTTTTGAGAGCAGATAGTGTGTGTATGTGGAGGGCAGGAACTGTGACATTGCTCAGTCTTCAGTTGAAACTGTCCCACACCCTACTTGGTCTAACGATTGAGAATCTTTTTCTAATGTATAAGCTGTATGTATGAAGGGCTAGTCACACCCTATGTTCTGCCAGCAATTACCTTTCCCTTAAGTATTTCACACATTGGTGAGAACCTTTTCCTTGCCCAGTGCATAGACAAACAGTCATTTTCTCAACCATGTTTCCACATTTAGTTATACCTGAGTTGTGCTCTGCTGGGTAACCCAGCAAGAAAATGTGGTCTGTCAAGTGCAGGACTGCATTTCTTTTGAATGAGCAAATCACAAGAGAGAAATTTTAGCTGTGTGGTTGAATATACTGTGTCTTCTTACTCTGAAATCAGTCGTCTTACCTGTGCCTAAAATCAGCAGCAGTAATAGGAGCCATGAAACATCTCTTGATAAAGCTGAAGAGTTTTTGAAAACACTTTGTCAAATGCCTGTCACATCAGTCAGTGTGGGCAAGAGCAGCTCTGCTGCAAGTGGGGGTCATGCCACCAGGGTACATCACATTGTATAGGTGAGCATGCACAAACAGCTGGGGAAGGGCACCCTTGAAGTCATGAACTTCCCCTCACTACTTAGACCCTTACAAAAATGGTAATGTTTCTGCTGGATGGGTTTGTTGCAGTTTCCTGTGCCTCTTGAGCGATACACTTCCCCTCCTGAGGATAACCTGAACCTCCTGCGACTCTACTTCCGAACACTGGTCACTGGTGCACTGCGCCACACCTGGTGCCCTGTTCTTTATGTGGTGGCTGTGGCTCATGTGAACAGCTTTATTTTCTCCCAAGAAAGCACAACACAGGTAGGTAATGAATCGTGAAACTTCAGAGCTGGAATCTTTTGGGGTTTGCACCTGCTCCTCTGAAGGGTTCAGTGTGGCTTGTGGTGAATCACTGACCTTGGGACTTGAAAAAAAAAGTTGTAAGCAAGTGTGTTGAGGACTGGTCAGCTGTTTGAGAATCCATGGATGAGGCAGCAGCTTTTGTTCATTATACACTAAAGCACTTGCATTACTGGTAGCCAATCCTACTTAAATCTTTGAAAGTCATCAGCTATGTGGGCTGTGGTATGGGGTGAAGAATAAAGCAGAAATGATGAGGAAGCTGATCAGGCAGAGAGCTTGTAATGGATTTGGGCTCTGCTTGGGCCATCTTAAGGTGCAAAGTGCTCTTTCCTTTCACTTTGCTTGGGTAACCAAGCAGAAACCCTCCTGTGGCCTTGGGGCCTCCAGCAATTAGTTGTGCTAACAACACTTCACCTCGGATCTACAGTTCTACCTGAAGGTTGAGAAGTCAGCTGAGATTCAGACCAGGGCAATGAAGAGAGAGGCAGGGTCCAAGGGATAGCTGTCTCAAGCACTTTCTGCTGGAATAAGCTGCTCATCATCATAACAAGCAAATCATCCTGGAGCGCTGTATGCCCATGGGCAAAGGTATTACTGCACCATATTAAGGAAGGTATGTGTTTTGTTCCCAGGAGACTGATGCTGCTCGGAAAAGCATGCTGCGGAAGACGTGGCTGTTGGTGGATGAGGTAGGATCTGTAAGATTCAGTTTGTGCCACTGGAAAATATGTTCTCCATACACTGTACTCTTACTTGTATCCAGATTTTGAAATTTGTGTTTAACTACCTTGCTAATTTGGGAGTGAGAGGAGATTAGCAGCAGGGTTTTGGCCTGTGATGGTTGTAAATATTGTTACCCAGTTCTTGTAGTAATTGAACTCAAAACACTGAGCCTGTTGGAACCTAGGTGAATCTCCTGTACCGTATTTCCATGCCACTTGTCCAAGCAGCATTATGTCTGGATAGTTAGAGGTCCTAGCCCAACCATGAATAGGTGGCCAGCAGTGATCTCCCTTAGCTCTTTGTTGGATGCCTCCCCTGAAAAGAACAAAACAAATGTAAGGTTTCTCTTTTTCTCAAGGAACCTGACAATGTCTGTCATTTGTGTGACAGAGCTGGGTCACTTGGTCCTCTATGATTAGTGTCCAGGGTAAATTTTTAGATCCCGTTCAAGTTGAGCTTCTGGCAAGAAGTCAATGTGAGGAACTGTTGAGAAGACAGTGGAGTTGTGTTCAAAAGAGGAATTCTGATGCAAATCAGAAGTCCATTTTATTGGATGAAACTTGCCTTTGATAGCTCTTCTATTGAAGATGTAGTTAAATATGTTGGGCATGATGGAATTGTGTATCTGCAGGTCACTGTTGTGAAGACAGAGTGGAGAAGATTAGATTCCTTTCAGACATGCTTAATGGTTGCCATTTCTTTCTTCAGAATTTGAAAAAGCACCTGCTGTACTACAGACTGCTGAATGCAGAGAGCCCTTTGGGATTTGACCTTTATGAGGAGCTCCCTCCCATGCGACTGAAATACCTGCAGATTGTGACACAGAAAGAAAATAAGGAGGACATACCAGTGCTAGACTCATAGCAAAACACTTGTGCAAGAAAGGGCCATGGTGAAGAATGGAAGACCTCAGTTTATACTTCACTGATGAAACTACTTGCAGTTCAGATGTTTTTAGTGTCTTACCTGGACACTCTTGGCATCTCTGCCAAGTGAAGCACCAGTAGAATGCTCCCAGCCCTGTGGAACCATACACATCTTGTCGAGATATGACAGTATGTGTGTGGTCTCTTTGTGATGAATGTTGGAGCATTTTCCTCTATTCTCTTTCAAGTTGTTCTGCTTGCCAAAGAAGGTGAGATTGTGTCTGAGAGGCACTGGACTGTTGAATAAACCAAAGGAAGTGGAATAGCTATTCTTTTCAGTCAGACTGGAAACTGGGGGTTCTCAAGGTGAAGTCTGTGTTCCCCAGATCTTTCCCTTGGTTTTTTTGTACCCTGAATTTTGAATGGTCCTTTCTCCACACTCCCCTGCAAATAGAATGACAATATAGAAGGGAAGAAGCTGACCCTGAGAGCTCTTTTTAAAAAAGAGTGTATATACAAGCAGTTTCTACAGGATAGTGTTCTGTGCACACAATCAGTAGGGCAAATGTATTGTGTCAGACCTCTAAGAAATATTAGTTCCTACCTAGTACAATGGTACAAACATTGTACATATCCTCCCTTGGCTGTGTTTTGGATAGTCTATAAAGTGCTTTCTTTTCTCTCTTAATTTGGTTACATGTATAAAAAGATCAAAACTTAATTTCTTTGCAGGGCAGGATACCTGGCAGTAACCACTCCGCATTACAGGAAAACAAAAAGTGTCTGTTTAGCTAAAATATGTATTGATTCTCCTCTGAGGAGAATGCAATTTGAATTTTGAAGTAGAGTTTTCTAGCTCAAACCTAATTTTGAAAATGTCTAATTTGATCCCACTTCTGCATCCAAATTCTGTATTGCAGCCTCAGACACAAGGGCTGCAAATACAAAGCCCTAAAAGGCTCGTCACAAGTGCTAGATCAAGTTGAGAATTTATTCTAGGTATGGTCTCACTCGATGTTTTCTTTATATCTAGTAATTTTTGTAGAACTACAGTCACTCTGGCAAGCTGCTGTTTGGAGAACTTATCTTGAACAAGTTTTGTTCATAAAAGTATTTCTGTTGTTTTGTTCTTATGAATAAATTCCTCTGGAAGGTGCAGGGTGATGCCTAGTCTGAAGACCTAAGCTCCTGTCTTTACCACTTCCCTCCAAAGAAGCCATGCCTGTATTAACCTTGCTGCAGTGAGTGTCCCAGTAGGAATGTGAAACACTCTTAATAAGCCTGCTAGTAATTATTGAATTTATTCAGACAGGAAACAAAGTCCAGATAGCAACTTTATGGAATCAAAGAATCATTTAGTTTGGAAAAGACCTTTAAGATCATCATGTCCAACCATAATAAAGTATCTTTTTTTTCACTTGACAGTCAAGTGTTGCTGCCCCCTCAAATTCCTACGTAATCACATAGGGCTTAGGGCATTTGTGACTGTGGTGCTGTCTTTGTATTGGCAGTTTTCTAAGTACACCAGTCCCGCTTAGGTTGTCAGAAAATACAGTTTTGTCTTTCCCCGCTTATTTCAGATATGAGATAGGCAGAACTGGTGTTTCCTTTCAGTCTCTCTTATTTTTTTCTTCCCTTTTGTTGCAGCTTTTGATCTGTGGTTTCTGCTGCAGATCGATGGCATGTAAAGTAACAGAAATACAGTGGTCAACAAGGTACTTTGTTGTTGCTGTTAATTATTTTAAAAGTAGTTGGTCTGATTAAAAGCTTAATTAAAGGCATTCAAGTTTCTAATGTATCTAGGTGGTGAGAGCTCAGCAATTGTCTTACAAGAGCAACAAATGGTAAAATTTAAGGAATCCTAGCTGCCCATTTAAGAGCCTTCATCACGGACTTTGCCTTTTGCTTTTCAGACCTCCAGTTATAAAAGCTCTTCCAGTCTTTTGTGTGATGCAAAATTGAGTTTTGTAATGTGTACAGGGTGTAAATAAATATTTTGATAGCTCTGCAGGGTTTTTTTTAGCTATGAGAATGCTCTCCTTTATTTACATCTTTCTTGAATTTGGATAGTTCTGTTTCCAGTTTATCACTATGTTGGGAATGCTGCTGCTTTGGGGCTCTGTGAGAAAACTCAAGCCAAAGACAACATCCTACTTGTGTGGTGGGACACTAACACAGCGTACCAAATGCTGTGTGACTTGGGGAAGGTTCAGGGTAGGTATTGTGGTTTGTCACATGCTACAGGTGGGAAGATAGTCAAAAACTGGTCATAGTTACTACTTGAAATTCTGATGCAAGCATCAGCAATGGAGGGAAGGAAAATAAAGCATCCCAAACAATTCTATAGGCCACAGTCATGTGCAGAACATTCTCATGATGCTGGATGTGAGCTGAAAGCTTTCAAAATCTTGACTGTGCTTGAGATGGTTCAGCAATCCTAAACTTGAATTTTTTTTATGGCTTTTGTCAGCTTTGCACCAGATTTCTCCACAGAACACTAGAGGGCATTGCTTTGTCTAGTTTAAACACACATTTTCTCAGCTTCAGTGTGATTGAAACTTGAAAAGAAAAGCCAAAAACCAACCAACCCTTAAACACAGTTTGAATTTTCTGCGTTTTTTATTTTTGCATATACTTTTGGAGAAAATGTGGAAAAACATTTTATGTGATTGGTTGCTAAGAATCATTCAGTGCTTTGCCAGCAGGAGCATTTTGGAAAGATCATGGTAGAGTGAATGTAAGCTTTAAACTGAATGCAGTCTGAGGCAGGACCAAAGCATGCCAGTGCTGTTAATCTGGTTTAATCCTGATCAGGGTAAGTGAGCAGATGAAGAGAATTAAAACAGTCCCAAAAAAATTGATGTCACTTCTTAAGTCCTTATTGAAAGCTTAAGATTCGTTTAAGAAGAAAATTCTGCTGAAATAAGACCCACAAATAGGTTTCTGGAGTTGAAGTGGTTCTAACAGAATAGCATATGTTTTCTCATAACTCTCATCAGAAGTCAACAAAACCAGCAACAGCAACCAAATAAAAAAATCCCTGCCTGTCTTTTAATTCTTAGAAACACCTCCTCCCTTGCCCAATCTTCTGGTCCTTTGCAGCTAGAAAATGCTTGGTTTCATCTGTGTTACTGATGTTGTCCCATGTGGATAGCAGTGGAATCTTTATTGGTAGAAATGGGCTGTGCTGGAAGGCAGCAGCAATGTGGCTTTAAAAACAAACAGTTGATTGGATTGGGATGATTTGAAGATAATTCTTCTAGTATTGCTATTGAGATAGCAGGTAAGATGGTGGGGCTATCAGTTTTGTATCCCATAACTTTCATGGTGGCAGTTTTCTGCGTTCTACTGAATCTTTATTTGTATTTTGGAAGGGTAGAGAGAGTCTTCCCTTCAGCTTGCAAGCATATCCTTTTCTGCCCAGAAGAAGTGGACTTGACATGTGACCTTTCTACTGTGTGAGTGGTTTGAATTTGCTGGGTTTAGGATCCCTATGTGGTGACTTGGCTCACTTTGCTGAGTAGGGACAGTTCAAACAAAAAAAATGTAGGCAACTCAGTAGCTGGCAGTACTACACACTGAGTCAGGACAAAGCCTGTCAGAAGAAAGTAAGTTAGGCAAGGAAGAAATCAAAACGGGACTGAAACCACACTGTATGGCATTAACAGTACATATGAAGCATTATATATCTAAAGCATTTGCATTCCACTGTATTTATTGACTACTTTAGTTTGACAGTGGAATTTAATAATCCCTTTCTAGACTAATGTATTCTGTCTGGCCACTTAATACCAGGCAAACCCTGAACCCCTTTTGCTGATGAAGTAATGGACAGATAGAACAAGCCATAAGATGTGGGTTTATAAATATACTGCGGGTCAGACAAACACATTTCATTTGGTGTCAGACAGTAGAGCAGAAAGGCATGTTAATCACTGCTTTTGCTACTTCCTAGTTCTGCAAAGTTCTCTTCGAAAATCTCATTGATGAAGTTATGCTGCCTCCATTGTGTTTGGGAGGCAAAACATGTTTACTCCCCTCAGTTTACAGAAGAGCATGTAAGCTCTCCACTCACAAAACTGGCCCTCTGATAGCTGTAGTTTAAATAACTTTATGGTCATTTACTGGCCTTTGCCCTAGTTTTGAAAAACTGGCTTCCCCTCTCCATTTGAATGGACAATGTGCAATGAAGCCATGCTCTCAGAACTGTTGTGTTTTGCATGATAAGTGGTGGTTTGTAAGCAGGAGCAAAACGGCCACAGTGTGTTCCCCTCCCTCCCTCCCTTTTTTTAGTGATAATCTTGACTTCCAAAACAGCTGCTGAAAAAACGCAGTATGTAGTTTTCTGGTCAGCCTGGGCACAAAGAGCTCCAGTTCAATCTGATTGAGGTCATACTGTGCTAAAGGACCAGATGCTGTACCAGCAGTGTCATGAGTCTCCAGCCAACCCTGACCCAAGCAACAGCTGTGTGCAGGTTACTAACAAAGGGCATTTTAGACAGAACAACACCTGGCCCATCTTCGGGTCCAGTTCTTTGCTTTCTGTTGGGCCATAGTTAGCAGGTACTGGCAGACACCTGCAGCTCTAGAGACCAGAGCAATGCCCCCTGGGCAACTTTTCTGCAATGCTTCATTGAACAACTGGCTCATAAATCTGGTCAGGGCAATGGATGTTCCAGAAAGTACTATGTATGGACATCATATCAAAGTCTAAGGCATATGAGGAAGGGTAGCAGCATCTACCCTCTGTGTCCTCCCGCCCTAATCTGACATGGATGACAAACCAGACCAGTGATGTCAATGCTTGTTACAAAGCAGCAGCTTGTTCTGTCTACAACAAAGAGGGTCAAGGGATGTAGAAATACCATTGATGTCAAAGCACAGCTACATAGGTGAAAGTATGCTAAAATCTGAGTTGATGACTAAAGCTGGAAGGAGACTTCGTGGAACAGTCTGGGTGCTGGGAGCCTGTGCTGATGGGCAGCAGCTGTGGGGCTGGGTGGGTAACAGGGGACACCTGTGTCCAGCCCCCAGGGAGCATGTGGAGGGGCCAGCAGCAGTGACAGGCAGTGAATACCGTGTTCCATCCACTTGTTCTGCTTCTCTGGAGTGCTGGGTGGCTGTTGAGGTCACAGACCAGGCTGGTAGCATTAAACCATGTGTTTCGTGTGCTGGGTATGGGGCTGACATGTTCCTTTTGGCTCAAGGCTTTTGCCTGGCTGAGGTGGTTGCAGTGAGCTGCCTCACGCTTCCCCCAAG